GCTGTACAGATGTTCCTCTGACGTTCTCATGGTGCATAGACTGTGGATTTTTGGGCACTTATAATTTCTGTGGAATTCCAAACAACATTTCGTACATCTTTTTTCGATTGCCTCTTTGGACAAGAGGAAATGAAGTTCTAACAGTTAGCTCTACTGTTTTAAAACTTGTGTCAAACTATTTTTTATATATTTTATTAACGCTATATATTACTCAGGATTGTCTGGCAATTAATTTAATTAAAAATATATATCCTTATATTATATTCAGTTATGAAATGTGGCCTCGTTCCTGTCATATTCAAATGTTTCAGTTAATCTTCTTTATGTTTTACTATCAATGTTCACATTGAGGCTTCTCAGAAGTGATAACATTCTTAGTATGCACTAAAGAGTCGGAGAATAGTGCTCGTTCAATAATCTAATACTTCTGTTAGGATCACTGTCCTGATTATAGTAAAATAGGGACTATACTATACAGTACTCGTGATTGAAGTTGATTAATAAAAGACAGAACGTTTCATGGGATTTAAGATTTAACAAAATCATCGGATAAGATCGTCGGAAATGATAACAATTGGAGATTTAGATGCATTGTGTACTGAATAAAAGATGCTCTTCGTCAGTAAATAATATTCTTTCAAAAGATTCTCTGTTTTCAATCGTTGCAAAATGTGTACATTCATAGATAATGCGATTTTACGCATTTATGGCAAAAATGACTAGCTGGCATATCGAATTGCAAAGACAAGAACAATTTAATAATATTGTTACGCTATTTACAACTTAACAAAATTACTAAAGGATTTCTCTTTATTTAATCCTGTTTCTCTTAATGCAAAATTTTCATTTTGTATAAAGATCCGCAGTATAATAATATTTATACAAGCTTCTTACGACTTCTATTGTAATACATACCTAAATAATTACCAAAAGATCTGGTCTTTCTCGATATGGTATTTGTTCAAGAACCTTTTCAAGAATGTAATAATATTTGTATCTATAGCACACCAGAAAATTATTGAATTCAAATGAAATAATAAAGTAATTTACGTAGCAAAAAAAATGGCTCCAATTAACAAAATTATTTAAACAATAGAGATGCGAAATGTATTTTGCAGTTTTTTAATTAACACGTAAGAAAGGTTTTCAACCACAAGTTAGAGCACCAGGTTATTGACGCAGGGGTTAATTACTTTCCAGCACGATAAGAACAATGGACAGTTTATAGCCGCAGCTTTTCTTGGTCGCCAGCCAGCTTTATCATAAATAAAAATTACTTCAATCCTCTGTTGCTTTGAATAATAAGCCATGAGTAATAAGTGAGACGCTTAGCGATACAATAATATTCTCATTGCTATAGTGATATAAAGAACATGCATTGCACATATCCCTACGTATTGATAAGGATGTCTTAACAGATTTAATTGCTGCTGAGAATTGCATCGATCTCGACAGACACATACTCTGAACATTTATGCAATAAAAAAAGACGAAGTTCACATACCATTCTAATACTGCTTCGAAATTGTGCCGTTTCTTCGATGCTCAAGGTCACTTTATGGCCAGCTCTCAGACATACTTGAACGCGTTTTAAAGTTCGCTGAGAGTTGTGGTAGAAAAAAGATACGCTTTGTTGGAAAAAAAATACCTGTGAGCTTGAGAAACATCGAAAGCTCTGTCACAGCTTTTATTAATTACGTTTCTAAAGCAGAAAGAGAGATGCTTAAGTGTTCGTCCTCAGCTGTGCAAACAAATGAAATGATAAATCGATTATTACCTACACCTCAATCGCGTTGAATACTGCTGCAATTTATATAGGAGATGTTAATTCTAGCAACTTTTTTTGTATTTTCGCATTAAATACATATGTGAAAACTTATTGTAACAATTTTATATTTTAATGTTTCATGAAGCAAGATATTCTAACATTTGTTGCATAAAGCTACTGTTTACATTTTAACGCTCGTTGTATAAGGTAATAAATAATTCTAGATTATTTATCACATCGAGTAGGCCGAAATGTGTTCGAAAATAATGTATTGTAGAAAGAAAGAAAGGGAAAGAAAGTTCGGGAGAATTTTTAAAATATTCGATAAAGGAAAAATATAACAAACAAATATTTCTATATTTTACATCTTCGAAGTAGGCAGCAGAAAATGCAGTAAAATCTTCACCGACAATTTCCGAGAATTGTTTATAGGTATAAGAGTTAGTCAGAGTCACACCTCAGAAATGAAATAATGGTGGAGTTAATTAGGAGACGGACGCATAAGTTGAAAGAGATACATGCAAGTTAGTCAACGTTGCATCACCGAGTTTCAATAATTGCGGAATAATTAGAAGGCGGACGTATAATCGAAAAGAAATATCTTAAAAATTGTGAATCTTGCTATAATAAAAATTAAACTTGTTTCATGACTATATTATGCATATCTGATTGCATATAATTGCATATAATCTAAATGCATGTAATTTGCAGCTGCTACCAGTGTTAATACGTAACTACATCTGACAGTTAATCGTCATGGTGAATAAATAATTCATCTGTTAAGTTCCGATCTTTTTATCTTTACTTAAAGTTAGTGCATCATCTGTTAAGTTTATATTTTTTAGCTTTATTTAAGATAAGATAGCTATAACCATAGCTATCTTGTCCTAAGCAATGGCACAAAAGGTACATCTTCGGGTTGCAATAATTCCGAAGTATTCGATAGGCGTCTGGAGAGACGGAAAGAGATTTGTTTAAACAAAGTGCACGAAGGGATTTCGGGACTGAGATTAGTCCGCAAGGACGCGGCAGAAATGGAAAGAAAATGGCTGCGGGAACGAGGAGCAACGAGGGAGAAGGAACGGGAGGAGCGTGTGACGCGAGTGGAAAATGAAAGTTTACAAAACCAGGAGAAAAAAAATAACAGGGTCGGGAATAAATTTCTGGGATGCGGCGGATTCAAAAGGGAAAGATAAAGAGCTCCAGGTGAAGATTAAAGGACGGGATGTGGCGAAGTTGTATGAAACTTGGGTGACGGGAAAAGGCTGAATGGAAATACCGGCGAGAGCCGGTGGGAGAGAATGCTAGTGGAAAGACAATGGGGGGGGAGGAAGATGGCGAGAAGAAAAGTGAGATGAATTGGAAGGCGATGGTGAACAAGTACGGTGTGCATGCAAGGGCATTAGGCAGGTTCACGTGACTAGGGAAGAAAGGGAACGGAAGAAGGGTGAAAAGGTTACCAACCAAAATAGTTGCAGCCTTTCACAGTACATACTCATCGTCTTCTTCATTGATACCGTAGATTTATTTCCACGCTTCTGGACGAAATTGTATCGTCAAAGAGACAGTCATAAGGATCATCGAATCCGATGAAACTTTTTCGGACGGATACACAGTGATCTGTGTAATTATAAGACTCCAAGAAGTAACTTTTTACATTGTTACCAATATCTAAAGAAAAATTTAACAAAATATCATATGTCGAATATCAAACTACCATACAAATATGTTTCGTTAAGTTCTTGTTTAAATATCATTAAAAATGCAAAAGTTACTTTCGGTCTATGATTATACACACCATTGTAGAATAAAAATAAATCCGCGACATTGCCTCGTAAAATCGAGAAGATCGAATTCGTTTCGATATTTTGTAAAGCTATCATTATTGTAGTTGCTTCAATGATGCGGTAATATACCCAAAGCATTTTCCATGAAAAAGTTTCTAATGTTTGTAGAATTGCGAAATGAGAAATCCCATTTGACCGTGGCAGGTTTCGCGTAAAAAGCTGCTCGTCTGCAAAGGGTTAAAATGGCGTAGCCAAGAACCCGATGGTGGCACCGGGTTTTTCCGTCACCTCTTTCAAGGGCCACGTTTTGCGAAAAAGATGCTGGCGAAGTTTCGCCGAACAATTTATGTACGCTCTGTGTGTACAGCATGTGAGGGCGAGTGAAAGAAACATGGACACACGTGCTTGAAAAGTACTCACGCGGGGGAGAGAAAAAGAGTGTCGGAAGACTAAAAGAGATCCTGGGAGCAAGAGAAACTGGGCGTAGGTGGATGTAGTTAGAAGAGATAAGGTGGAGAGTCAAGAAGACGATAATGGACGCTACAAAGAGCACAGTAAGGGCCGAGGAGAGTAAACGTTGAAAGACAGCGTAACAGTAGTTTCAAGTGGTGCGATGAATCTAGACAACGTTAAATCACTCTAACCAAATACTCGAAATTAGGAGTTACAAGTGGAATTCTCGATAATTCGAACTTCAAGGGAAGGGGAAGAAATCTTCTAATTGTGGAGGTTCGACGAATGAAAATTCTGTTGATGACAATATCTTATTAATGATGTTAAATAGAAATATTATATTAAAAGAAGACATTAATACGAATCTCATGCACAATACATTGAAATACACAAAATAACAATCTCTGTCGCCAATCACTTCTCTTTCATCATTCGATCATTCAATACGTCGATCGTCACTTTTCTCACATCATTCGATTCTAATGAGTTGAACATCATATAACAGTATCTTCGAGTACTTTCAATGTTTTCACTGTTTTTAATTTGATCTACTCATTTTTGTTGCAAATGCATAATATCTGTACTTAACAAATTAGGATGTATTGCTCATTTTCCCCATTAATTATAAATCATTCTATATGAATAATTAAAAAAAGGCGATTAGGTTTCGCGATTTTTCACAAGCAACAGAAATAAAATTTTATCAATCAGGCTTGAAAGGACTGCAGTTGTTACTGATTTTTACAATCTTGATTTTTTACATTGCATAATATAACAATGTATCGAATAAACTATGCTTTCTATTTATTAATAGATTGAGATTATTCAACCTTTCGCTTAACCAAATAAATAAATATATTCCAATATAACCAAATAAATTGTTCTGCATTTTTGTAAATCAGTGTTGTGAAATAGGACTCGGACGTAGATTTTTCGATTCATCGATGGCTTAACTTTAAATTGATCATGCTAATAGAATTAATTGCTTTCAGGGCCGGCACACCAAGACTGGTCAGTTGGCAGCCATCAAAGTTATGGACGTCACAGAAGTGAGTATTGGCTGAGGCGTGATTATGATTCCGGTCACTTTCTTTTTATCGATAATAATCTATTCAATTAATGAACGTGCAATTCAGCATATCAAACTGGTAACAGAAATGGATGAAAGTAGAGTGTGCTCTGATGTATGCTTTTATTTCTGTATTTGAAAACGACTCTCAGCGTATTATGACCATTCTTTTTACTCAATAAAGGTCTTTTACATTTATTTACGTGATTTTATTGTTTATCTTTTTAATGAAACGTCTACTCGTCGCTCGTTATCGCATTCATCGCCATCGCTAAATATTTTCCAAATAATTTACGATTAAATTGTAGAATACACCTCTATCAAATTAATATGTAAGATACATTGTCTCAATTATATAATAACGATTTTTACCTTGGGGAAATCGTCCATGCTTTATAAAATACGAATGCGAGTAACGCTTGAATAATTTAGAGGCCATGTAGAAGCAACAAGAATGAAAAGAAAAACGAGAATGTGTTTATAAATTAACAGTTTAGCATGATAAACCTAAAGAAAAAATTAGAGCTTCACCTCTGACCTTTTCCATCATTGCGCTATTTCTTGAATCGTCCCTTGTGCAACGTAGAGGAAAATAAATCGATGCGAAGGTACAGAAAAAAAAGTGAGACCCCATCAGCGGATTTCACACTCTGCTCGGCCACTTAGCTTATTTTCCGTGAAAAATATTAACTAGGACAATTAAAAATGCGAATAGAGGTTCTTGCCGTTGAAATATCCGCCAGGTTAATTGATTCCTTGGTTCGTTGATGATTTTAATGCGTATAAAATGCTGGACTTGTTCAATGACGTCGGACAGATTTTAATGAGACAGTCGGAGAGGGAGAGAGATCGGCATTTTTGAAATCATGTTAATTAATGCGAGATTCTCGGCGGCTTGTAAAATGTCGGACCGAAATAAGAAGAAACAGTTGATGCGACCTGGAATTTTGATTAGAAGGATATTGTAATTGGCGCGATCGACGTTTTAAATTAAAATTGGTGATATAATACCGGACGTAAAAGTGTAATAATTTGATCGTAATTCATACTTCTACATCGAAGCCTTTCGTGTTCTTAATTCAAATATGCGATGATATTGAGCTTGGGATATTCGAAGTTGTGGTGGCGATCTTTAGGTAGTAAGATATCGATGGTGTGTTCGTGATTCATGCAGGTAAAGAAGTGACTCTCGTTTCAGTGAATTCCGATGTATAAATGAATCATGCTCCCGCTCGAAGTCTTTATCTCGTAGAAGTCATTATTTAAACACCAATATAGCCTGAAACAGTTATACGAGTGGGTGAGAATTATAGTGGCGTAAGTCACGTTTTCGAACAATTTTTACTTGCGTCTTGAAACGTAATATATACCTGCCAAAATGTTAAAAAGTAAATTATAAATTTATTATAAACTAACTTAACCCCATATTATCTCAACAATAAACTTGCTCAGTAAACAATACACGTGTTAGAGTAAACGATGATACTCCGCGTTTCTCACAATGAGAAAGATGTGACTTACGCCGCTGTGATTCTAATCCAATCGTATTTGAATTTTGGTCTGGTGAATCAATTGTACACACACATTGTACATTCGTAGAAATCAACAGCAACCAATTATCGACGGTTTATCAGAGTGATGATTGTCGTGGAAGGTGATACGTCGTTATTGTCTATCTTACAATAACTGCATCCACGTTTATCTTCCAACAAGTCGATAAATTGAAAGAGATTAAAATTGCATTGAAAAAATGAGTCACTAGTCATTAGTTCTAATTGAGGACAATTCAATCGTAAACTGTCATATTTCAATCGCTATTAAAATAGTACGTACACATGCAGTATAACGCAACACTTATATGCGTCGTTGATGTTGCTCTTAATTACTATTAATTATCGAACGGTGTACATTAACAAAAGTCGATTGCACCACAAAGAATTTTCTAGGCGACGTAAGAAATTTTTCCTTTAGATTTTTATAAAATAATTAATGAAAATGAGAATTTGCATATAGATCCATTTACGACTCAATAGTATAATGTTGTTGATTAAATTAATTAAATGTTTTATATAAATATAATAGTTATAATTTTATGAGAGATTAACCGAGTATCAGTTCATTGAATAAATTATGTAGTTCAACGTTATTAAAGAGTAACTGTGTCGATGCTCCTATTCTCGACTGCATATAATTAATTAATAATTTCCCACAAAAAGTACAACTAAGAAGCAACCTATTTTGCACCGACTCGATTAAAACGGTGTTGAATTCGATATTGCGTCTTCATCGGACAAAGTTCTCCGTACATCACACGTTGCCTTTATGTTTCGCCTCGAATAGAGTCACGTTGGATTTTTCTATGGTTTCTAAAAATTATACAACACTTTAAAGTTTGATTGAGTTTCACGGTCCTCTGGGACGGTGCTCGTTTATTGTTCACGCTTCTCTGCTCCTTCAAACATGCTCCTCCACTTCGCAGATTTGTTGAAAGGTCAGAGAGTTGTTTGCAACGTCTGAACGAACACAAGCGTTCTACTGTTTAGGAATTATTCAGATTGCCAGTAACATTATAAAGTGACAGTTGATTTGCATCGTCTCCACTGTTGCGCGAGCTCCGATAAAACAGCCACGGTAGTCGACGTTATAACACAACCACTACCTGAAGCCAGCATAATCTGTTGAACACTTAGACGCAGCAAAAACTAGCTAATCGTTCTAAATTATTTTTAATCGTTACACATTTTTTCAGCCGTTTCAATTTTTTCATTTTTTTATGCAATCGTGTTGTAGACACTAGTAATTCAATTAAATCTTCTTACGTTTCATTGAGCTCTATAGAAAAACTAACGTCTGAAAGGAGTACCTTCAATATACGTAGAAAAATGTTGATCAATTGATTCTCAGCGCGTTCGGTTATATTTTTGTTAAAAAGGTCCGCCGTTTCAGTAAAACAAAAAGAACGGCAATATTTCCAAAGTTGCACAATTTCTGTGTTCACTATTGTGCACAGTGTGGTGAGTCACATACCACAGAAGCATCGTAATTTATTTTCAAGGTACCAAATGTTGAGCAATGTTTTTTACAGTGCACGTTGCGGAAATGTTTCAACATTAACGACGATCGTTCCAAACGCATCAAACGAAAATATTAACAGAACAGTGCACAATCCTAATTATAGCGAATGCACGTTGAATCATAAAGATAACTTCACCCAGGATCCTAAAAAATTCAGTTGGTACGAAACACAATTTGCTTTTTTATTTACATCAGTGTTGCAATCGCGACACCATCCGAACAAACTATCTCGATCATCGTGAAATATTATTTATAAAACTTACCTAAAAAACGCTTTCTATTTATTGTTAATCTTTCAAACGGAGAGAGAGAGAGAGACTCGCAATTCGTGTCTGCTGTTAGCTTTCGGAATCGTTCTATTTCCTTTTTAATTGGACGAACGATTTTTTTCACTTTAGTGTTATACTATCTATGTTAGTAACGAACTTTATTGGTTTTTTTACGGATCACATATTAGTATTCCATGCGATAAAATAAAATAAATAAAACAAGATAAAATGAAATACAATAACATATATAACGAAGTTAAAAATATTATAAAATTATACTATTGTATCTACATAGATTCCATTAAAATTTATTTTATGTCAATCTCATAATCGAAAAATCACGTAATTAAAAGCTTGAATAACTCCTAATAAAATCGTATTTTATCCCAAGGAATCTTTCGCGTGATTATGAAGAAGTACATTATCAGTCGTAGATGATTCACCTTGTATTAGATAAAACAATACCGATTTAATGAAATCCGTTGTCATAACAATCCGAGAAAATCTGAACTTAATTTCCACGTTGCAAATCGATTTTGTCATGCCCATGAAATGGGTTCGTTTTTGTCTGTTCGCTGCTTTATCGTTATATTGCAGACAAGCTCGTTTTATGCAGGAATCATCCTGGATAACTCGCGAAAACGCTGTTTTCCTCAAACTTTGTTCTTTATCCGCTATTTCGCGGAACAATAAGCCTTTCTCCCGATTGCCTCTAATCCGTTTTATGAACTTTCAAGTGACACACCTCTCCTGTCGCGCGCAATTTTCCAACAGATAAGTACTTGCGAAAGTATCCGAGCGTTCTTCAAACACCGATATAAGGCGTACGAGTTCGGAATTGCCGACGAACTATACCATTTTTCTACGTGCCCGAACTTTGCTCGATCATTAGCGACTACATATACCTATGTATATTTCCAGCGACGTGTGGTTTCCTAATTAGAAACACTTCTAGATCCTTATCTCCTTATCGAATCGATGCGCTTTTAAAATAATATAGTATTCGAAGAGACATCCAACAAGTATTATTTTATTTACACAGTCGTTCCTGAAAATAGCCTTCAATATTAAAGATGAAAAGCGTATAGAAAATAACAATAATTATTTCCAAATGTGTCGCAAACTACGATTTAGCAGTACATTAATTGCAAGATGCAGAGGAGCAACACAGACTTTCTTTCGTTATTTTATCGAATTGAAAATAATGCAACAGTTTTTAAATTACATACATTTTCGCGTCGCTCAAATATTTTTATTATTTTTCGTATTCGATCTACTCATTTCTGTCATAAATTCAGACAGATCTGCGGTCTGACGTTTAACATTAACGGAAACAAATCATAACATTCACAATTTCAATGAAAAGAAGAAAACATTTTAATTCAAAGATGTAAAAGATTTCGAAGTTGCAAAAGTTGTTCTCATTCGATCTTTGTCGCAAATGATCGATCGGTAGTTGCATTCCGATCGACGATTTTTACGTAAATATTTGAAATCACTTTACCAAATTATTTCCTAAAGCTGTATTTCTTGTTACGATTTTTATTATCTCGACAAATAATCATAAAACCTGCATTAAATTTCGCTGGTGTACAAATTCTAGGAACGTAGAAAATCCTTCGGCCGGTCGCTCGAGATACAACATCACGACACGAACTCGTGACTGTTTATTACGTTTTTTTATCATCACTAGCGTGCCTCCTAGCAAGCATGTATCACTTTCCAATTAGTAGCTGGCCGTATGCGTATTTGCGGTACTTCTAAACGCTCTGGAAAACGTGAGTCATGTACCTTGGTGTCACAACCTTCGGCCTTATCGCAACCTTCGCGTTGCTCAATTCCAGTGCATCCTTTCCGTATTTACATCGTGACCGCGAACAGTACGTATCCGTTCTCGATTCCAACGTCAAGCACAGAAACGATTCGGCTATTCTTCCGCAGGGGACAGATCCGCAACATCATCTGCTTCTTTTCTTTGTCCGCTATTCCTGGCTCCATCGGTGTCGTTGCTCCTCGGTACTCTTTCATATTCTATCTCTCCACGAAATTAACTCACTATATGCTTTTTCGCGATAACCAAACACCGCGTTCTGTGCTCCATTCTATTTTCGCGGCGAAAACCCGCGTTCCGACACGTGGAACGCGTCCTGCAGAAATCCACCCCATGGGCCTGAAAAAAACCATGGCTCCCGATCGCTCCGCGCACACGGAAGTGTCGTTTCGATCGCGGTGTAACGTGATTTCGACTGAAAACACAAGGATCCCAACGAATAGTTGCTTGTCCGATCGTCGATTAGATGGTTCTTAAACCCTGGAACCAGTTTCTAAATACAATGAAACTCATTAACGACACAATTAAATAATTGAAATGTACTTTATGTTTTATAATGAATTACGAAAGTAATTAGTTTTGTGTTCATTTTGTATAATTTGGTCTTCGAGTCAGAATGTCTCGTTATGTAATAATGTAAAAGGGGTAATATATTTGGATTCTGGAACTCTAACGTGTTTATCGTCTGGTGGCAAACATAAATTTGTCTAAATACAGAAATTCAAAAATTGGATTTTTGCCACGGTGTCCCGCTTTCCCGGCCACTCTGATGCAACGAGCCAATGCATTTCTTTCTTCTTAAGTTGGATTTGTTGGATCCTCTTGCGTATACGTTGGCACCAAGTTAGTTTACAGACAAAACGCAATCTGAGATACCTGACAAGTTTAGAGTTTGTGTTATAATGTCCTTATTAAATAAACTCCCTTATGAAGGTGATATTTTTTTCACCTTTTTGAAGATGACCCATTTTTCAGTATTAACGAAAATTTTTTGATATTACGGTACTGTCGTAATAATGTGGATGCAACCTTACGATTTGATGGTCAGATATGAGAACTTGATATCGATCATTCGACAATAGTGCACAAACTTTAGTGCACAGCGATCTTACAAACAGCAGTATATATATATTTTAGTATCGTTTCTATGGCCAACGATTTTTCATCTCGTTCTCTATCAGATTCAGTTGTTGCGCATCGATAAGTTGATTTTATCCTGTTTACAATCGCGTCATTGAAGCTGACATCAAGCTTATAGACTGTAGTATTCCTGGCTAGCTCTCTATCAGATTCGATTGTCGTGTGTAGATAGATATATAGTAGGGTCTTTTGGACTGACATCAAGTCTATAAGTAACAGTATAAACGATTCCGCGATCGTTTATCTCGTTCGGGATTCTCTTTCGGTGAAATCTCTGGAAAATTGCAGCAGAGAAGCATAAAGAAGCTGGTTTCGATTAATATTCTTTCGATATTCCTAATCTCTCCTGCGATTCATATCAATTGTCTACGTAACACTGTACATGATTTTGCGATCGTTTTTCTCGTCGGCGACGTTCCTTTCGGCTGGTTCTCCACGAGTTTTAAGTTCTTGTACATCAAAAGGTTGATTTTACCGAAGTATACCCAGCATATCGTCTTTATAATTCAGTGTCTTGGACTGATACCAAGTTTCTGGGTAACAGTGCATATGATTTTGCCATAATTTTCCTGTTTGATGACTCCCCTTTGGCCACTTCCCTTTGAGTTTCACTCGTTGTGCATTAGAAGCCCGATTTCACTGATCGATATATGGTGTATCGTCTTTGTAGCCGAGTCTTTTGGACTGGCGTCAAGTTTACAAGGAACATTGTACACGATTTTGCCATCATTTATCTTGTTAGCGATTCTCTTTTGATCAGTCCTGCTCGAGCTCTGTTCGAAACCTGGCTCCATTCGTTGCGATTGATGAAGGAAATTTCCATTTCACAAAACGATCCGCGGCTTAACACATGGAAAAATCACCGTACCGATTCATCTATGGCAGATTCTTTTAATAGTGGTATTGTTCGGTCTGACAATGAGCCCACAGATAATAGTTCGCAAATAGTCCGTGTCCTTTTCTCTGGAAACATCAAACTGTACAAGTGCATTGATAGCGATGTAAACGATTTTGCAATCTGGCATCTGTTTTCTGTGTTTCCTCTCGCTCGCATATTTTCTCTTCCTGTTCCTCTCGCCAGGCATCGACAATACTCAACCAACGTTGATGGGCTTAGATAATCAATTTAGATAAGAAACGTTCAAGAGGGTTAATTACCGTTCAGCTAAATGATATCAAGTATATCGAGGAAGCTTGAACACGATAACGAAATGGAATATTCGACTAATTCCAACTTCTATACATATTAAACAATTTCTTAATGAAATTGGCATCTCAAATTTAGAAATTTAGGATCTCTAGCAGTAAATTATTGTCTTATATTATTTGCATTTTATTAGCGCTTTTTAAGTCCGCGAAGTTAGAATTAAAGTAAATATCATTTTATAAGTTCGCTAGCTTCTTCGGATTTGACCTAATTCGATCCCTTATTATAGCAGGTTTAATAAACAATGTTTATAAATCGATTAAAGAGTGGCGTAGGTGTTGAAAATTATTAGTTCTTTCTATAGCTTCCATTTCTTTGTGGTTGACAGTGTGATGCTATAATAAGACTATGAATATTTTATAATAGTTAGCTAAAAATAACATTCAATTGCTTATGTGTAGAATTTCTATAAAATAAATAACATTGAGAAATTATTTAAAGCAAGAGATAGACTAATATAAAATAGTCACTTTAAGATTATGCAAGAATAGTAATTGCAATATTGTATTATGAATGGAACTATGCCTCGTTTAATCTTACGCGAACGAGAATAATTTTAGACGCGTGTATACATATTGCAAATTACGTATTTTCTGCATTCTTTACCTTCATCCACCTACACTACTACAAAGATTTTACTATTATTTTACTAACATTAATATCTCTTTCAGGATGAAGAGGAAGAAATCAAATTAGAAATAAATGTATTAAAACGGGTGGGTACGAGAGCAGTTAAGATTATTTTCAATCGTAAGATTCATAATTTCCGTACGGGTAAATTGAAGCTGATTGTCATTGGTATTGCAGTATTCGAATCACAGAAATATAGCAACGTATTATGGTGCCTTCGTGAAGAAGTCGTCACCTGGCAAGGACGATCAGCTATGGTTGGTTATGGAATATTGCGGAGCTGGCTCCGTCACAGACCTTGTGAAGTCAACGAAGGGCCAGAGTTTAAAGGAAGAATGGATTGCTTATATATCTCGAGAGATATTAAGGGGACTTAGTTATCTTCACAGCAATAAAGTTATTCACAGGGATATCAAGGGGCAAAATGTTCTGCTGACTGACAACGCCGAAGTCAAGCTAGGTGTGCTATACTTTTTATTTTACCTTACTTCACTTCAAACAAGATGATAATAAACCTCGACAACAAGCAATTTATTCAAATAAATTTACTTTGTAAACTCTCATTTTAAAGATGAATATATTCATTAAAACAGAAGTGACAACAACAGCCGTAGCATATTTTATTGTAGTATAAATACAATCACATTGTTCCGACAAACCTCAACATGTTTTTAGAGTTGTATCTTGTAGTAAACGTTTGTGATAGATTTTTGTGAGCTGAATATGAGTCTGTACAATTTGTATAATTTGTATAATTTTTATAATTTACAAAAATACAGAAGGATAAATAATATAGAAAGATACAAATGCGAATAGATGTTCACCACTGTTATTAAATGGTTAATTGTTTATGTTTTGCATTGTAGTTGACTTCGGCGTGAGCGCACAGTTAGACAGGACAATAGGTAGAAGAAATACATTTATCGGGACGCCTTATTGGATGGCACCGGAAGTGATAGCCTGCGATGAAAATCCAGACGCCACGTACGACAATAGAAGTGATCTCTGGTCACTCGGAATTACAGCCTTAGAAATGGCTGAATCACAACCACCGCTTTGCGACCTTCATCCAATGCGAGTAAGTACACGAGAGTGCTTCCTTTTACAGCAGCATAATCGCCGAGGCGGATGATAACATTTCATTTTCCAATCTGATTACGCGCGGCAGGCCTTGTTTCTGATACCGCGTAGCCCTCCGCCAAGACTGAAGTCGAAGAAGTGGTCGAAGAAGTTCCACAGTTTCATCGAAACGGTGTTAGTGAAAGATTATCATCAGAGGCCATACACAGAACAGCTTCTTAAGCATCCTTTTATCCGGGACCAACCGACTGAGAGACAAGTCAGGATACAGCTCAAAGACCATATCGATCGTTGTAAAAAACGTAAACAGGAGAAAGGTATGCTAATTAGACACGGAATGGGAGAAATAAGCTGCAACCGTTTCAACGAATGTAGATCTAGAATGCTGTGGGATAAGAATTTTTCAGATAATGAAACATTCGTTTTATAGTTACAAAGATTAATATCTCAAACATTAAGATCTTAACAGTTATTTCTACAATTTCTTGAGGCTTGTCATATTTATTTGATTACAATAAAAGTCCTTTGCATTGTAGAAAGAGACGACTACCGGTATAGCGGTAGCGAAAACGAAGAGGATGAGCCAGCATTGGCCGGCGAGCCATCATCCATCGTTCAAGCTCCGGGTGGTGATACATTACGCAGAAATTTCCAACAAATCCAAGAGGGTAGGACTCTGACGCAAGAAGTAGCTCCTCAACCACCTGCTGCTAAAGACAAGCCGAGTAGCAGATCACAAAGAGAAATACCAGAGCCAGGACCACCTGCAAGGCCTGCCATTCCTCACAGATTAATTGGTGAGTTTGACAACGTATCAGTATCTAATTCCTCTCGTGGTTTGCGTAACACTTCTGTTAATACTATGATAAGCCTCATCATGTAATTTTACCTTATGGATTCTTACTTTACAAATCAAATAGCTTATTTCATTTTAGTTTAGAAATAAGACTTCTGTGATTTCTACAACTGCTTTCTTTTAAAATAAATATATTGGTAAATACGTTAATATGACACAATTTCATGCTATTTATTTTATATTAAATTCATGTATTATTTTATAGGAGAAAATTGACAAGAATAGATGATTTAAAATAGATGAAAGGTTTTTGGATGTAGGACAGCCATGAGAACGTTAACAGGATTGCCATAATGCGACTATTCACCTGTTTAACAGTTTTATACAGCTTCTTTTGCGCATTATAGTAGTTCCAGATCCGCAGCCACCATCTCGGCCATTGCCGCCGACACCCAGAGACGACCCGCGGCAGCCGCACAAAGTGTCAACGCCACCCTCTAATCATCAACCACCTGTCGCCAGTAGTGGCAGTGGAAATTCCGGCGGTCAATCCGCGTCTCAGCGAAACAGTCACGTGTTTAAACCTATGGTAGGCTACTTTGGCTTCGTTCACATGACCGATCTTTCTACTTCTACCTCTTTCTCTCTCTTCTTTCTCTGTCACTCTATATCTATCCTTCTCTTTGATATTGTAACTCCTTTCTCAGCATTCACAACACGCCAATGAAGACTAATATATACGTAGCCAGAAAACTATATGACGATTTGTAGAAATGGCACATGCTAGTTTTGTTTTACTTTGCCATCTTGCTGTCTGTCAGTGACACACACACACACACACACACACACGCATATACTCACACACCAGTGCCTATCTCTCACACGAAATACAGGTCTGTCACTTATACGATTCTTGTGTCCTCCTTCTGCTGCATTCTTATCGTACGAATTGCACGCGGAGTTTCTTTCTATTTTGCCGATATGGCGTGCACGCACGTAGACGCGCATTTACGAACACACGATTTTCTTCCTGATGCACTTTGACACGCGAACATTTACACCATAAACAGGTCACACACGTGTGCAGGGTGAGCCGTGAGACTGTTTCTTGAATTTGCCTGGTTTTTTGGAAGAAACAGATTTGACGGCTGAATTTCAAGCCATAATTAGACTGCGGAGTTATATGCAAACTAAAAATGTTCTACATGAATTACGTGAAGCAGAAACCAAATTGAAATTTCTTTCCTCTTTAATGATATGAATAAGTTGAAATAGTGTATCCATGTTATAAACATCTCCAACTGATTTTCACCACAAATGCATAAAATCCGTAGTCTATTCATAAAGGCAGATGTTCATCTGAGAGTAAAATTCTCGACAGTTGCTCTGTAGTTTCGCATCTGCGGGTCCCGCCAGACCCCTTATCCTTCGTGTCTTACCTAGCTGTGCTGCGGAGTCTCGAATTGCAGTAGGACTACTGTCAGACAGCTACTTTTATAATATGAAACTGATTTGTATTATGAAAGTAGCTGTCTGACAATGATCCTACTGCGACTCGAGGGTCGCAATAAATGGCCTGGCGAGACCCGCAGATACGAGACTACAGAGTAACTATTGAGAGTTTTACTCTTAGATGAGCACCCGACCTAACAGTTGTTTGCCTTACTGAAGCTATTTCAAGTTCATGGATAGACTGTGGATTTTTATGAAAATGATGTAAATGACGTGACTTCTAAACTGATTTAAGTGGAATCGAGGAAAGTTCTTTTTTACCTTATTAGAGATTTGAACATACAGATCTTGTTGCACTCATTTAAACAGTTTTCTTTTCCGAATTCTAAAGAATGATAAAATCCACAGTTTGCTCATAGTAAATACTGTGTACAGTAGCAAGGTGAACAACTGTTCTGACCACAATAGGATCTCTTCTTTCGGAAAACGGACAGTCAAACACTTGTAGGACACAATTTAAGATCCTTTTAATTACAACTCAAGTTTTATGATACACAAATTAACTAGTCCGGTGTTTACTTCAAACTTCAGTTCCACATAGAGAATTCTGTTGTGCAACCCCCCGAGAGTCACCCTGTATGGTATACATAATCCCTCTCGTATTTGAAATTATTCGGTTTTTGTTTTTTTTCCATGTTCACACGTACCGTAGCTGCCGCCAAGGAGGCCGGAGGTAAGAACACAACACTTATTTTTCTCTTTACATGTTACATTGTTAATCCCACATCTATACACAGGATCACAATTTACTTTATCCTTTGTACACGTAACATTGCCGATTATCTATACAGAAAGATCTACCAAACAGTCACTATACATAAGCTATAGAGCCAATTATTTCTTTTCATGAATATATATCTACACATGATCCGCTTGTTTTAATCTCACGCAGAGTACTAATCAACCTTTAGAATTTTCTTATTTAACCAGTTCGACCGTCACCGATTTTTCATCGCCCTGTTGCTTGATGCACATTCACTACTTTCCTGGTATGCTTCACCAAAATTGCCTGAATGTCTGCTCTCATCGGTAGAGTTTTGCGGTGTTTAGATGCGCAAACACAACACGTTCCCTCATGTTTCGAGAAATGTGTTCAAATCGCGTATCTTTATATCGTACGGCATAACGTATGATAAATATTAAAATTATGAATTTCTAATACAAAGAATATTGTTTTATAAACATATGTTAGCTCGTGTGAAATGATTGTACCGTTATCTTGAGTGTAAATGTCTTTGATATTTTTATTCAAGAAATATGACCAAATAATGTGGAATCTCACTTACTTGATCGTTGCATCATTCAATGAATTTATTTATTGTGCAGCATATTAATAATAATAACTTTTAAAAACTTCGGAAACAACCAACTTTTTCTTCTGAAATAAGATTTTTCTTTTTATATCTTTTGAGAGAAGTATGTGCAAATATAGTTACACCATTGGTCTATTTAGATATTAGTTTAAATAGTCAGTAGACACAAGTGTAATGAATTGAAATTATTAATTATATACCCCTGTTGTATTGTGTTTGCTTTTTAAAATGCTAAACTGTAAACTAATACTAAACTGCCATGGATACTATTTACACTTCAAGTGAAAAATGGTACAAAATTTCTATGCGATCTAACAAACATGACTACCAAATGTTTGGTAAGATTCGATTATTTTTGTTTTAATTTGATATAAAGCATTCAAATGTAAATGACAAAGTGCAGAATAATCCAACAGAAACGAAAGCTTCAGCAGGGTTGCCTAAGCACAATGCGTCTTACGACTTCTCTGCCACTTTCTTTCTCTTTTCGCCTTGCCTGGCTGCTTGATGGTGGCTTCTAGAAAATTTTCGGAGGTGTCTCGAAACAGTGACTAACGGGGTTGTGCGTGTGTGCGTGTGGGTGGTAGGACTTGGACATGCTGGCCGCTCAACTCAACGAGCTTGGTGTGTCACAGGGCCCAGAGGCCCCGCCAAGGCCGAACAGACAGCATAAGGGCCCTGCTGCATCGTCCACATCCAATTCCGTTCAGCCTGCAAGCAGCAACGATCAGAACAACAAACAGATGCCGCAGTCTTCCAGTATTCTTGATCAAGTAAGTATCATGGATGTTTCTGCAAGTGGACAAGAAAAGTATGAATGACAAGTAAAAGTAAGAATACGATTGGCTTTTATTTTTGTGTTGTTGTGATAAAAATAAAAATGTTTCTTTTTCGCAGGCTTTGTCAGTCGAAAGCGATAGCGATGACGACCTTGAAGATGCAGGAGGAAACAATGCGAGAAATGATGGTACCTTACTCGCCAGCGATCCACCGAAACCTTTGTGAGTAAAAAACTAATATCTCAAACCTTGAACAATTAATTAATTGACGAATATTTTTTTTGTATGGGATCACTGGGAAGATGCTCTTAAATATTCATACTACTTAATGCTTTCTATGTCGCGTGTGCCTTCCTAAAAAATTTTGCATTAAAATCGATTTTTCAACATCTAAAACGCTGCGTGGAAGGCATTAATTTTCTACACATTAAAAGTCTCGGATAAGAAATTAATTTATTAAGACTCGCATATTAACAGCAAGAGATATAAAGATACTAATTTTATTAGGTCATCTCATAAACAATTTGCTACGTTACGGGTTATTAAAGAAATTGATAAGTGAATCATAGGCTAAAACATTAAGCAAACCTGAACATTAATATAATATTTTTCTTCAACTTGTAAACATGTTCATAAATCATTATTTAATTCCAGTATTCATTTATTCGTTCTGGAAAACATGAATTTACAGAGAAATCTCTGGTCTAATGACAGTGTACTTAATTTCTGAACTTCTGAGATGATCTAACGACTCATGTAAAGACAGATGCAATCGTTTGTTACAATAAAATAATCGAACGAGTAGTTAGGCACAATTATGACTATTTAACACTAGAATTACCAGACGAATCAAAATGATAGGTTCCTGAATTTTTTCTTTTACAATTATTGAAACTATAAAAATGTTCTTATGAGAAATTTTTTCATAAACTTCTCTATTCATCGAATCTTGTTATTGTTATAAAAAAATGTACATTAATTACGTTTAGAGTTCGGTAGTTCTAGTGTTAAAATATAGTATTTTAATTAATCATACTAATGTCATTCCGTTTCATCTTTCATTACGCTTCCATACATTGCTTCGCATCGTCGTCCTCGTCGCATCGCCACACAACGTACGCAACGCATTCCGTGTACCTCGCCATCACGTGTCTCTGCATTTCTATATCCGTTGCTGCAGACCCGAATTTTCTCCTTTCAGACCATCTACAGACCCGTCGTCGATGTCTTCGCATAATGCCCAGAATTCCCATCATCAAGGTAAGCCCAAAGGTAGGACATCAGACTATTGAACGTCTTTTGACTTTTCCCCTATAATAAAGATTTAGTTATTCTCGTACATGTTTAACTGAGAAAGGAATTCGTCATTGGACAATTTAGAATTACATTTATTTTTGGGTACAACCAGATTTTTCTGGAATATTTAATAAATATTTCTTAGTATTCCATCTTTCCTTCTATTCCACCATTGTACTATTATTTAATTGTGTACAATAAGGAATATATGCTGTATTATTATTAGCTTAAAAATTTATTCGTATGCTTCATTCTAAATTCGACAATGAACTTTCTTCGCAATACTAGTTTGCAAATACATACAGTAAGTTCTCCCAAATTGGCCCTGTTAGAGATCTACTCATATTACCCCTCTGCCATTCCTGCTTCTATATGCGTTATTCTTATGCCTATGCTAAGGTTCGTTGGAGTCAACTCATAATACAATAACATAACTTTTTTAATTTTAATATTTTAGAACATTTGGTCTCATTTAGAGAATTCATTGAGAGAATTTATTGTATTCTTTTTAGCTGGTGTATCATATAAGTGTCTATGACTATCGTTAAAACTAGTATTTGCTCACTCATTTTTGAGAAGAGATTTTAAAGATTTTTGTCTTTCTGTAATTGTTTCAGTCTAAATTTTGAAGTACATATCCTTGACGACTCTAATTTGCAAATACTCTTTTTAGGCGGTGCACCAAATAGGCCACTACCACCGACCCCCGACGAGGAAGAATCAGACCGTACACTAGTCATGAAACGGGTAAGTACTTCCTGCGCGTATGTTGTGCAAGTTGATGACCATACATCTAGTCTAATTTTGATACTATCGTTTTCGTGTATTACGTGAGATCAATCGATATGTATTAACAACTATATAAATCGATATCTCCATCCAGTGATTGTACGTATCTTTCACTCTCTCTCTCTTTCACTCTCTCTCACTCTCTCTCTTTCTCACACTCTTTTTTATATTATTTAAATACGTTTCAATATAAAGGTCGCTGTAGTATTCTTCATTCCCGCTACTCTCCGCTAGGTACCGAGAGATTGAAGTCCGACCGAATAAAGAAGCTACAAGCGACCATAATTGTATATTTATTCTTTTCATGTAGGCTTATCGAAATTCAGAGATAAGTCAGTAATATCTGTTCACATTTGTGTTCTAATTATTCATATACAAATTCTTGTTGTAATTGAATCTTGTGCAATTACGAGGCATCCTGGTGCGTTGACTGTACATTCGCTGTTACACAATACATTCCTGCACAGTTGTACACAATTGATGAGTACGTGTCGTCATAGGTTGTACTGTTGCGGCGGTGACATTATGATGAAACATTCAAAGGATCCCTGAATGAAGCGGAAGCAGTACTAAAAAAACCAGACTCCATTTAAAAGAAATATGTTTCTTTTTACACTGTAAATTCAAAGTTCAACTAATTTATACTGATTCGGGCAGGTTTATTCAACCTTAACCACGTAGAAAAGATGAAGACGGTTATTTTATAATACATTTTGTAATACTTCGAGTATTTTTTAAATCTACATAAATTCTCTTTACGACTGAGATGACTCTGGAGTCGGTAACACCGTTAAAAAGCAATCAGCTTGTTTGAGATCTAAATGCGTTAGAAGAAATCACAGAAACCAAGGTCGTTATAATGTCGCTGCAGCAAACCTTCTTACATATATAACTGGAATTATTGCATCGCACTGCCACCACAGCTGCCACACGTTATGTATCGCCGCACGCCAATTTCTTTTTCTCGCTTCTGTACCATTTTTGTTTTGTTACCATATTATTATTCTCGTGCGCGCTCCCTAGAAACTTAGTCAGATGTCAGACGATCGCGCTACGGCTAGCAGCAATCGGCGTTCTGAGGCGGACGAGCAGCTTCTCCTGAAGGAGTGGGATTTCACCCGCTTCTTCCAGGGTTTTAACGAAAGGTTGGATAAGATGAAGCAAGATCATTCGCAAGAGGCGGCCGACACGAATAAGTCTGGTAGCGAGGATCTTTCTTCGTCGTCTACCGAGAGAACGTTGAAGAGACAGGAGCAGTTGTCACGTAGGAAGTACGAAAACCATCAGCCTCAACAGCAACATCAACAACAACCGCAACAGCAGCAACAACAACAACAGCAGCAGCAACAGCAACAACAACAACAGCAACAGCAACAGCAGCAGCAACAGCACCACCATCATCAAAAGCAACAACAGTTAAAGCCGGTGCATAGACGGCAAGAAAGCGATTCGAAGCTTGGCAATACGTCCAGCGCTTTTGCACGTGCTTTCCGCCGTGAGAATTCCGATTTTTTCCCTTCCGCGAGACATTCTGCATATTTACAGAAGTCGGACTCCTCAAGGTCGAGTATATTCGCAAGCGGTAACCGCCGCGGAAGCGAGATTAGTGTCGCCGGTGTCGCTGGTAAAAAGGGGAATGCCGTCAATGCCGGTGAACCGGTTCTTACAGACTTTTCGTTCGATCGTGATGGTCTTCAGAGGCCACGAAGAGAAAAGACAGAGAGCGAGATCGTTTTTGGTAGTAGACACGAGGCAAGAAGGTTCGACTTCGGACGTGATAAAGATGACACTACGAGGAGGCGCAGTTGTAGGCCATCAGACGCGGTTTCCGCCGCGGTTGACGAAGCGGGAACCATTAAGTCTACGGCCAGTACAACGGCTAGCGAGTACAGCCCAATTGTCACTCAGGTCAGTCCCCATACGAGCCCTGCCTGTGTGCTTGCCTAAGACATACCTACCGCATTACCTTTTGTCTATACCTTCGGTCTGTAACCTTCATCAATTTTCAACATCCATGTCATCAGTATCCGCATCCCTTACGTGTCTGTCGATATACTGAGCAATTCTTCTTTTATACCGTTTACCTAACGTGTTGTCCGCGTGGTCTCGTTCTTAACAAGTTTCGTTTTCCAACCATAATATTTAAATTTCTGTCATCGATATAATTACTAAAGAATCTAACTTCCAACCGGTCTATTTGAATTGAAAGTATGAAAAGAATTATTGAAGAGTTTAGTCTTTGAATAATTTTATTTGAAAACAAAGTATCAGTATGATTATAGAGTTTAGTTTAATTATTAAAGAGTATAGACTTCAAAATATTTTATTTCAATTGAAAGTATTGTGTATTGAATGGATATGTTGTAGTTACATATTATATCGTGTCATAAACGAAGTTGCCTGCGACAATGATCAAAATTTGCAGAAACAGTGATTCTCCCTGTATTACTTCTCGGAGATGGTAGTGTGACTATAGAGAAAGGAGAATACTATTTTAGAATAATTCATGTTTTATATATTTATAATTATTTGAAATCAAGTGGTGTGGGAATAACATCAGGTTTGAGGTATTAAGTATAATTATTGCATGAATTTTCTGGGTTTTTTTTTCTTTCCCTTTTTTCTTTCACTTTTTATATTTATAATATTCTGCAAGATCTTTATAATTGCAATATTTATTTATAACGTTAAATTAAACCTGGACATTTTATATAGCTTTTATGTAGTATAGTCAATATTTTAAAAAAATACGACATATTACTGCTGTATAGCAGTATGAGATGAAGAAATGTAATATAAGGGTCTTATTTGTCAAATTTAATTTTAATAATCAGGTTGTGATTTTATATTAAAAAGTTTAACATTTTGATTTTTTTTAAAAATGTCTCAATTACTTTGCTTTGGATTACTACATCAAATAATATTTTTACAATACTATAGCACCAAGAGTTTTTTCACTTCAAGAGTATATAACGTCTTCATTATTCATATTGGAGAAGAGCTGAATATTTATATTCCGTAGATTTTGCAACATATAAATAATGACACGTTAAAGAAAGAAAAAGGGAACAGAATATCGACAGACATCTTTCACACTGAACTCTTACATCCATTTTCCGATATTTAACAGCATATAAAGATCAACATAGAAAGCTAGTCAGCTACGCTCGAATTTTAGGCGCATTTACCAATTATCTATATATCCTGTCTTCATTATTTTGTTTAACATTTACAGATATAAGTAGGAAAGATACATAACTATTAGTGCTATCAGTATTACTACTCTATTATCTTCTTCACTATTCCATTAGATCTTTCATTCAAAAAGGGATGCATACCACTTTCTTATAGTACAGTTGGAATATCATTAATGTATACATCGATATAGTAACACCAATCATGTCTTACCACTAACAGTACGTTTTACCACTGTAATAAAGGATGAGAAGATCATTACGCGATTAACAAAGCTTCACTAATTCAATGTTTGTTTGGTCCTTCCTGAACGAAATAGTAAAGTGATTTTATAGTGCGATATTCAGGAGTTATGGTGAAATATTCTTCATTTTCTATTTACAAGTTATAACTAAAATTCAGTAGATATTAAACAAGTTTGAGGTAATAAGGGTTAGAAGTTGTAAGTTTTATCTTTTAAATAATTGAAATATGTGTTGTGTCTTAGGAAAATTCAGTTCATTTCTATTAACCAGAAAAATGGCTTAAAAATTTGACTCTCGAATTATAGTGAATTCATTACAATTAACTTCTTTTGTAGATAAATTAATATTTTCAAAATCGATATGTTAAAATTAAAATTTGAATTTGATTGGAGCATATTAAGAAAAGTGGAAGATCGTTTCTCTGATCGATATTATACTCTCTAAATCAATCTATACGAATGTTACTAATCTTATTTCATATGAATGAGAATTTACAACTTGTAATAATTATATTGTCTTTCAATTAATTTAATATTTTTTGAATTTTTCTTGTTTTTACACTGCAAGCTAACTTATAACTGGAACGAATTT